CGCCAGCCTGGGGACCAGTCCCTTTGCACATCCTCCCTTTCCCGAAACAAAGTCATTCGCTCTTTAAATACCACCGTACTTGTGAAAATCCATCCTAAATGACATGCTGTGGTGGCTAGGATTTGCTTCAAAATATCTGGGGGAGGAGCACAGAGATAAAAACAAGACCAACCAGGACTTAATACGTCTGGAAGCCCAGTGAGGAGGCCGCAGGCATGTTACATTCTTCTTTCCGTTTTTCTCTATGATTAAAACTTTCCATAATTTTAACAAAATCTATCTTGAATACAGAAGTAGAGCTGAACTGTCCCCCTCCCCCACCTCACATTTCCACAAAACTGAGAAAGAACTAAATCAGGAGCAAAAAGATGATCTTGATTTTACAAAACTTCTCACGGATGACCCTCCACAGCTTAAGTCCCTCAGGAGTCTTCGTTTTCCATCTCTCCTTATGTTATTCCTCCTCAAAGACAACTCCTTCCTCCTCCATGATCAATCCATTCAGAGCCAAGAGTACGAGAGACAGCCAGCTTCCCTGTGCAAACACACAACCTCTCCTCCCCTAAATCAAATGCACTACATATGTATGCAACAGATCACCCTTCCTTCTCTGTGCTGCTCCCTGAGAAGAAGTGCTGGATGTGGACATCCAAGTCCATTTTTGTTCATGCAAAAATACGCCCTGAGGACGTCCCTGACGCCAGGCACTGTCCTAGGAGCCAGCGATCAAGCAGCTACAATGTGAACAAGAAGGCCATGCTCAGGGATCTCTCATGCGAGGGAGAGACCACGGATAAAAAGCAAGCCAAAAAGAAAAACTATGCCATGATTTCAGTTGGTGGGGAGTGGCAGGAGCAGGCTTGGGGTGGAGTGGCTGGGGGTGTTCTGTGCAGAGTGATCAGAGCACCTCTCAGAGGAAGCTCCCTATAACCCTTTTCTTTATTTGATCCAGGTCTATTGACTTTTAGCTCGTATTCGACATGATAATTACCCTCCCCGATGAGGGCAAGATCTTAATTGCCATCTTTTACTGAATCCCCCACAAAAATGAGAGACATAGCTAAAGCTGATCGACTGTGCCTAAATGCGAGATGCAAATCACAGCACTATGCATATATTCATCTTCAAAATGTAGGATATAGGCAACAAGAACAGGGCAGGTGAGGAAGCTGAAGCCAGGAGGGTAACTTGTCGAAGGTCAGTGAGTTAGCAGGTACTAGAGACAGGATTTGAAGCCAGGCAGTGTGATCATAAAGCCCACGCACTCAGTCCTGTTGTGTACCCCCGCCCTCATCACAGAGAGGCCTTCAGAAATACATAGTTCTTGATTAATGAGGAAGCAAAATCATTTGTAGGAGAAATGATGCAAACAAGTCATTCATTTATTTATTTATTTATTTTTACAAATCAAAGTTAAAGGAGAGGGCCACGGGCTCAGGTCAAGGCTGATGGCGCTGACAGGCAACCGCGCTGTGAGTAGTCGAGTCTCCGGGCCCTGGCGCTGGCTTTATCAGCACACTATGGGGCAGACATCCGCCGTGGCCACCGGGTGCACCCCAGCTCCTGAAGAGCCTTCTCACACCTGGGAGAGGTCTCTCTATTACGAGCCATGCCTCCCCCGTACAGAAGTCGGGACAAGGCCACAGCCACTCTTGCAACAACTGTAATGCAGACTATGTTCCAGGTTCTGCCGGGAGCCCTGATGCAACTGGAAACAAGCCGTGGGGGGGACAGCTCTGTGCAGAGCTCCCATTTCCTTTGACCAGGGTGGCGGCTGCAGAAGAAGCAGGAGTCGCAAGGCCCTGATCCAGAAGGAGCACGGCGGCTGGGACACCTGTTCGTGGACAGTGACAGTGAGAGCAGCTAAGGTGTCCACACCCATTGGGGTCAAACGACCCTCTCTGTCAAAACACACATCTCCTGCCATAGCCTAGCAAACTCAGCTGGATCATCCATCCTCCGTTTCCGTGTCCTTCAGAGGACAGAGAAGCAGCAGTTGGGAAAACAAGGCTGAAACAACAGGGCACTGCAAGCCTCAGCTTACTGGGACCCGCACCTGGCAAAGGAAGGCCTCTCTGCAGAACAGCAATCCCAGTGTCAGTGTTCCCAGCCAGCCTTGCTGCACACACATCAGCCTGGCTCTCCCACTGAAGGGACACACCTCCAACTCTAGAATGTATTCGATATTGGGGGGAGGAGGAAAGCAACGTTTTAGAGCAAAGCAACTAAGTGAGTCCCTTCTATGAGTAAGGCAACGCACATGCCGGTGAGCAAAGACAGGGCCTGGAGCCCCCGCTGGGGAACCTGGAGGAGCCACATGGTCATGCACCCGGACCACATCCTCGAGAGAACATTTACTACGGGCTAGCAGCTTCGGTGGCTTAGGCAGCTAACTCTGGTTATATCCGGTTCTAGAACTCTGGACACGTGGGGTGATAGGCTGACTGGCTCCACTGGGATCAGGAAGAGCACACGGACCAGGACCATTGTTACAAATTAACAAGAACTGGAACAAAGCAGGAAAATCAGGGCCATCACATCTCATCAGAAAATACTGTGGCTTCAATGATTTATACCAAATGTGGCAGAGAATATTTTACAAAGTAATGACATCTTTGTGAGAACAGACCAACCGGACAACTTCCACTGATTCATCTTTCCTGACAAGGAGGGAAGACGGCTGTAGGCCGCCTTGAAGAAGCAGGGAGCCTGCAGATGAGAAAAATCAGGGTTGTCTTCGGGATCCCTTCCCAGAAAGATTCTTAACACTTAAAGCCTGCAGGCAGGCAGGGGGGCGGGCGTGGGGCTTTTTCACATTGGACATTGGACAATGTATTCTAAAACACTTCCGGATCACCCGTGAGCATCTGGAAGTGAGTCTGGGCTGTGAGTGGTGGCTTAAGACAAGGCTACTGACTGGGCAGCTAGGGGGCTGCTTCTAAGACATGAGGCTTCAGGTGAACAGTGGCTCTCAGAGCTCCCGCTCAGTCTCGATTCACATATTTCACACAACCTGACAATCACCAAATACCACAGCTGACAAAATTACCAAAAATAAATAGAAGGGTCCCTTCCAGCTTTCTACTAGCTAAGGAAATAAAGATAAGTTTCACTAGAAAAAAACATTCCCTTGAAATGTTTTCTTAAAAGAAGTTCTATTTTAAATATTCTTTTTTTTTTTTTTTAATTTTATTTATTTATTTTTTTGACAGAGAGAGACAGCAAGGGAGGGAACACAAGCAGGGGGAGTGGGAGAGGGAGAAGCAGGCTTCCCGCCGAGCAGGGAGCCCTATGCGGGGCTCGATCCCAGGACCCTGGGATCATGACCTGAGCCGAAGGCAGACGCTTAACAACTGAGCCACCCAGGCGCCCCTATTTTAAATATTCTTAATTGAACCATTTATGTTTTAGGTCCTTATTCGAAGACAGCGAAGTGATATGTGGCGCAAAGTTTTGCAACAGAAATTATGCCATACAGGGAAGAAGGACTTCCCTATATCAACAGTCAGTAAAAGTATAATCAATCCATTGACAATTGTTATTAATTGATAATTGTTCATTCAGTGAAGTGGTTTGTGGTGGTGGTGGTGGTGTGTGTCTTGGGGTTGGATGGTTAGAAGAAGGGACATCAATAACCTACCTAATATAATCCAAATAGAAAACTTCCACGGGATTTTACTTGTTCTGGTATAAAATGTCATCAATATGGAAAGAAACAACGAAGCAGAAGTCCCCATGCATCACCCCCATCATCATGCCCTCTTGAACCCCATAGTTTCACCAAACTTTAGAAGACACCTGGAGAATGAATAATTCAAGACCCAGCCCTCCAATGAGACCCTAAAGTATGGACAGTCGGGATTGGTAGCTTAAAGAGATTTTTGTGCTTTTGAATCCCAACCTACGGCAATCGAGCTTTCATTTATGCAAGTGAGCAATGGGCTTGTGGCCCAGACACAGAGGTTTGGAGGGGATGCAGAAACCCACTCACTTCTTGGTTTGCTGGTTTCTCTCAAAAAGAAACACTCCCACTCAAATGAAGTCTTAACATTTTTGCTTCACAGAAGCCTTAGCAGTAAGCGTAAACTCCAGTGCAGTGATAAAGTTTAATCAAGAAATCAGGTTAAAACCAGCAGGAAAGCACAGGGTACAGGAGCCCAGAAGATACAAAAGACTAATCTAGACATACACTGAGTTCTCGGCGCAGCCAGGAGCTCAACAGGAAATCCCCGGCCAGGCTGCTCCATCCCTGAAACACCACACACGGGGACAAAAGAAAACTAATGCAATAGCCAAATATCTGGAAACAAACAGAAGAGTAGAAATCTGTGTCTCTCAGTCAGAATGTCACTCAACGGTCCCCACATTTGCCTCTACTAAATGAGAAAGGTTGTGGAATTATGCAAAGGTTTTAAGCTTTCAAAAAAACTCCTTGACAAGTGTAAAATATTAATTCAATCTGTCCAAATAGAAAGAAAGTGATTAATAAAAAGGGTAGGGAGATAACGTGGGGAAATAGAAGGTGTTCCTCAGGATAAATGAGTTGAGGAATCATTAAAATTCTTATTACTTTGAGCAGGGTTTGAGGAAACCCTGTCAAAGAATGCAAAATTGAGGAAAGACAACCATTATTTCTAAATTTAAAGAAAACTTGACATTTTTCTTTGCAATCATCTGAATGGAAGCAGGTGATTGCCTCCCCAGGATAGACAATCACACATCTTAAAGGCTACAATGTAAGCTGATTATTTTAGGGCTTTGGTGTACACCTAAATTACAGACTACGAGGTTTTCCCCTTCATCTTTCAATGATCTATTACTCCACTGTGTGTCAATTACCATTCTTCTTGTAGGGGCTAAATCTTCCTGTCTTGTAATGGAGCTGTTTTAATTGGTTGCAACCTCCACTCCTGTTGGCATGGAGGAGAGAATTCAGAAGGGACAAGGCCTTTAGACAATGAATGATGTGACAATTTCATGATTCTCAGGGTTCGACTCACCATGGTGTGTGAAGAGGTCACTGTGAATGATTTCAATCAAGCAATACAGCTTCTGAATGGTCAGCAAACCCATGGGAACATTTAGGATGAAATCAGTAAACATTTTGCTGTAATGAAAAACACAAGTGAAAAGAGTTTAGGGATATACAGCAAAATGATCCACTGTGTTCAAGACGGTACCAAGATGCAAGGTTATTAAATGGTGATTAAGCTCTACCAGAATACTGGAGATTGCCCATTATCCAATATGGGCCAACATCTCATCCAACAAAATGATGTTTTAAAATGTTATTTTTCACTTCGTACCCACTCAAAGGGCTATAATCCAAAAGAGAGACAACAACAAGTGTTGGCTAGGATATGAAGAAATTGAGGTTTGCTGTGGTTTTGTTAATATTATTATCTTAAGTGACAACTCCTGACCATTCTGCCTGAGGCTTGCAGTCCGTCAGTTAGGAACTCACGGAAGAGCGGTTGTGCATGCTGAGGGGCAGGGGAGGGGAGTGCATAGTAAATCTCCAGTGTCAGATATTTTAGGTGCTGAAGACAAAACAAAAACCCAACCACCACATTGTGAAATTCAACCTCAAAAGAACACAAAATGCCAAATTTGTATGATCTACCCATTGGCCTACAAGCAATCCTCTAAAGAAAATATTGTGTTGACAGATGATGTCTTTTCCATATAAAGTCACAATTAGGGAAGTGTCATAGACACCACAACCAGCATGTGTTTGTTCTAGAATGATCCAGGGCACTGATGTCTGCCAGCATGAGACTGAGCCTCGAGCCTCTCATAAGCTCCCTGCAGGGAAAGGAGGCAGAGTGAAAGATGTGGGAAGCCTGCCCCTCAGGTGCTTCCTTACCTGAGCTCTTTGGGATCGAACACCAACTTCACATCGTTGACAATAGTTGGCAAGTACTTCAACGCCGCCCCCTGCAAACCAAGAGCAAAGAATGCTGAGCCTAGTGCAGTCTGGCAAATGTTAATACAAATCTGTAATTACAAGGAAGAACCACAGACATAGCAAGAAGGGAAAGATCAGTTTCTAGATGAGACGATGAGATTACCAAACACAACAAAAATAGAGCAAAGAAAAAAACCTGTGATCCACAAACAATGGTGATTTGTTACCTGGATATCTTGACACATAATAATTCCACAGAGGCCAACAGTTATTGCCTGTTGACTGAATGTCTATACTGCGCTAAGCTTTTGTGTGATTTTCTCCTTAACCCTAATGAAGCTATGGCGGATGAAGATCTGTGTCTTCACAGATTCCCTACCATTCAAATCACTGCAGTTCCTTCACATTCAACATCTAAAATGATTGTCTTTGTTCCACTCCAAAACTGTTTTCTGTATGTCCGTGCATCCCTTAATTAGGAATCTGTGTTTTTTCTCTAGTAACTTTATCTCTTATGTTCATATCTTGTATCATCCAGAAAATCCACAGTCTCAAAAAATAAGAGTGATGGTAATCATGATGGATCCTACTACATGCTATGTGCTGCGCTAGGACCCTTGTATATTTTATCTTTCATTCCAACAGACGTCTGACAGGGAGCTGGCTGTTGGACAGCAAGGAACCTGCCAATGGAGAAGATAATTCCTCTGCCCCTGATCACACCGTGAGAACTGAACAGAGACAGAATCAAAACTCAGTTTAGTGGGCAGCCTGAGCCCCAGCTACACCCTGATGGGAAAAGTTCGTGGATTTTCAAGTGTTCTGACCATGGTGGGCCCCCTCTAGAATCTGTGACTCTATGTAACTCCTTGTACCAGGCTGGGCTCCACCTCCCAGAATGAAATGGGGGAAATAATGCTCATGCCAAGGATATCCAGAGGTTGTATTAAAGTTCAAAATCAAGCTGAAAACAGGATAACACTTTGAACACTGGAAAATACTACACTTACTGCATAAACAATTGTTAGCATTATTTTCTGAAAGCAAAAAAGTAGTGTTTAAAAAAATAAATCAGACGAACCATGAGAGACGATGGACTCTGAAAAACAAACTGAGGGTTCTAGAGAGCAGGGAGGTGGGAGGATGGGTTAGCCTGGTGATGGGTATTAAAGAGGGCACGTTCTGCATGGAGCACTGGGTGTTATGCACAAACAATGAATCATGGAACACTACATCTAAAACTAATGATGTAATGTATGGTGATTAACATAACAATTAAAAAATAAATAAATCAGTCAAAATGGAGTCACTTGTGCTAACCTCCATGTCAGCAAACCAAGGCTTCATACCTAAACAAACTGCAGTTTCAGCCTCTCCCAGGAACATAAGATTAAACTACTCAATCTGGAGGGGCGCCTGGGTGGCCCAGTCAGTTAAGCATCTGCCTTCAGCTCAGGTCACATGATCCCAGGGTCCTGGGATTGAGCCCCAACCATGTCAGGCTCCTTGCTCAGCAGGAAGCCTGCTTCTCCCTCTCCCTGTGCCCCTCCCCCTGCTTGTGTGCTCTCTCTCAAATAAATAAATATCTTAAAAAAAAAAAAAAAAACTAGTCAATCTGGAACTTTCTGGTCAGTACTACTGAGGTAATCCACCTGACAACCCCTTCCATCCCTCGAAGAAGGAACAGGTAGCCTGCTCTTTCCTTGTCCCTGTCTCTTTCTGCCTATAAAAGTCTCATTTTGTCCAGCTCTTCAGAGCTCCTTTCTACTTGCTAGATGGGATGCTGTCCAATTCGTAAATCATTGAATAAGGCCAATTATATCTTCAAATTTACTCAGTTGAATTTTGTTTTTTGACAGCAAAAGCCCACTTTAACATAATACCCTGAATATATATGGTCAACTGTTTGCAACAAAGGAACACAGGCCCCTCCCCTACCCCACCAAGTGAAACTGGTTCCATACCTCACACCCTATACAAAAATTAACTTTAAGTGGATCATACATCTTAAACATAAAACTTAAAAACTACACAACTTCTAGAAGATACTTGTGATGGGCTAAGCAGCGATTTCTTAGGTAGGATACCAAAAGCACGATTTGTAAAAGAAAAAAATAAACTGTAGTTCATCAAAATAAAAACTTCTGCTCTTTAAAACACACTGCAAAGATAATAAAAGATGAGTCACCACACACTAAGAGAAAGTAATTGCAAACATGTATCTGATCAAGATTTGTATACAGCATATCCAAAGAACACTTAAAACTCAATAATGAGAAAACAGTCTTCCCCCCAAATAGGCCAAAGATTTGAAAAGACACTTTGCCGAAGAAGATATATGGATGGCAAATAAGCCCTTGAAAAGATGCTCAGCATCATTAGTCACCAGGGAAATGCAAATTAAAACCACAGTGAAATATCACTAACACCTATTAGAATTGCAAAAAAAAAAAAAAGAACTGACAATCTCAAGTGCTGTTGCGTAGGCTGCTGGGCTGAATGCAAAACAAGGTCAGCAACTGCAGAAAAGCACAAGACAGTTTCTCATGAAGTCAGAAATGCACTCCCCATACAGCCGAGCGACTGTACTCCTGAGTCTTGACCCAATGAACTGCAAACCTAACGCTCCCACGAAACCCTGCATGTGCATGTTTACAGTAGTTTTATTTGTAATCATCAAAAAGTAGAAACTGCTCAAAAGTCCCTCAAGAGGTGAATCCATACAATGCAACACTACTCGGTAATAAAAAAAAAAAAAAAAATCAAGCTCCTGTTACACACTACATGGATGAATCTCAAATGCGCTCTGAGAAGTAAAAAAGACAAATTCAAAAGGCTACATACCATGTGATTCCATCTTCAAAACACTCTGGAAAAGGCACACCTATAGGCTGGAGGTGGAGGAGGGCTTGTCTACACTGGGGGAAGCAGGAATGCAGGCGGTGATGGCACTCTACTATATGACTCTATGCAAACAGAACCTTAATTTTCAAAATGAATAAAACTATTTTATTGCCTGGGTAGCCAGGCATGGAAAAGGCCTGAGAGAATGTTCTTGAATCTCAACACTGGTGCCTAAGAGGTAAGTGGTCGATTCCCATTGCTTCAAATGAGTTCACGTTTCCTAATTTGTAGCTTGGGAATATTCTGTCCGTGCCTCAGGCTCTTCTAGATGCTCCACCCTATGGACACAATACATCCTCAGAAGAACATGAGAAAGGTCTGCTATCCCCTTTCACAGATGACAGAGCAGAGGCATGCAGAGAAGTCATGTGTCCAGATTCACACTGCTGGGATCTGGAGCAAGGCTGAGCACGTCCACGGTGAGCGCGAAGCCAGCACACGACTCATCACCGCCTACCTCTGTGCCGCACTGGCTCGATGAGATGGGGCAGGAAAGCAGTGTTCTGCACTGCACATTCACCAAGGCTTGCTTTCTAGGTGTTGACCCTGTCCTTCAATGCCAGCCAGATCAAGGGATCCCAACTCCCTCCTATGAGATTCAACTTGGCAATGTATCGAGTTACTGCAGGTTACCCCCATTTCACGAGGGCGAAGCAGACGGAGACAAACAGGATGGGCCTTTATGGGACGGCCGGGCGCCACATTACCCAGGCAGACTGAGCTCCAGGGCAGGGCCAGGGCTCCCTAGGGCTTCCGCCCAACCAGAGGTCACAGTGACACCCACCAAAAGGGACATGTGCCCACTGTGACCCCAAAATACTGTCTAACACAGAAGTTTGCCTAACAGACCAAGATCCTACAGCCAGTACTACAGGTACTTGGGTTTAGAGAGAACAGAGATGACCACGCACCTGCCATCAAGCCCGGCTTAAGTAACCAAGGACGGAACAGAGGGAATGAAGAGAATGGGACGAGCAGGCTCCAACCAGGAGCGCCCACACATCTGTGCACCACCCAGGCTGAGAGAGGGAGCGTCCACCTCCAACAGACTGAATCCTGCCCCTGGGCTCAGCGCGGACCCTCTGCCCTCTGTCGCCCCTCCTCCTTCCAGGTGACTCAGTTCTCACATCAGCTGGCTCCTTCCCTCTGCATGTGAGCTCACGCTGGTCTCTCCGGAGACCTCCCTCCCATCCTGCACCAGCAGTGTCCGCTGCCCAGCATACTCCCACCTCTGCCCTCCGTAGCCCCTCTGCAGCCCCACCTCGTCTGCATTCCCGCCAAGGAGGCCAGTGGCCTCGGCCTAGGTGAGCCTTCCCTCACCTGCCTGGCCTTCCTCCATGCTCACTCCTCCCCCGCTTTCTGTGCAGGGCCCTGTCCCCACCACCCCTTTGAAGGTGGGTGTCCTTGGAGTCCCATTCCAGACTTCTGTCCTTCCTCCACACAGCCCTGAGGGACCCCACCTTCCTCCTGCGCGTCACACCCACACACAACGGCCACTGCGCTTCTGCGCGTGGCTGTCCCACAGAAGCTGCAGGCTCCACCTGCCACAGGCCAGTCCGCCACCTGGCCTTCCCGGGACGCCGCAGCTCAGGGCGCCGCACGGCGGAGTCCCCAGGTCACAGCCTCACCGGGATGCTCCCTCTGCTTCACAGCCGCTCCGGACCAATCACAAAGCGCGGTGGAGCCTTACCATTACGTGCCCGTGGTTCTACCACCTTCGCCACTCCTACGGTTTCTACGACCTGGTCCAGGTCCATCTGTCTCTGTCACTGCTGCTGCAGCCTCCCGTCTGACCTCCCGCCTCTACGTGGACCCCCTCAAGCTCACGCCTCAGGCTGCAGCCAGAGCAGCTTTCCTGAGATCAGATGCACTTCTCACGTAGAGACTTTGATGCATCACCCAAGTCTTGGGGTACCAGCCTGACTAGCGAGCACCCTCAGAGGCTCTGCCTCCACCTCCCTGGGGTCTCTGCTCAGAGGCCTCCACCTGCCTCTGACCCTCTCCAACTGGTGGAGCCCCTTCCAGACAGCAGGGTCTCCCTGGACCACTGCTTCCCTGAACGCTACTCCCTCTGTCGCCCCAAAACACTCAGCGTTAACCCCTGATTACTCCTCCATCTGTCGCT